CTTTTTCCGTCCTTTTTTTCTTTTTTTTTCCTTTTTTTTTTTTTTTAATTGCACGCTTTAATTCCTTAATTGCGTGAAAGCATCGGGTTGAAGCGGAACGTTGAAAGATTGACCGATCGCCTCTGAGGAATCGTATACGATTTATCGCTGGAAATCACGTCTTTCTCTAATTACTGCCTCAAGACAAAAAAAATTAGTTACGTTGACCGATGTTTCCGACCAGTTACATAAATTCGAATAAATCGTTGCACCTTAAAATTATTCTATTTCCACGCTTTATAAAACGTGTATAAATAATATTTTTAATTTTCTACGATTTTATTTATTTAACAGTATTCGTCGTTAGTTCCTTCGATTCATTTTTTACATAAGCTTTTTACATTACTGGAAATTATAACGCGAATTAATTCTGTTGTCTGTTATATACGCTTTGGTATCGTTTATTGATAACAAAATTTCCGGGCCGATAATGTTATCGCGAAAATAACATTATATGTATATTTTACGAAAAGAAAAATTAAAATAATCGATATGTTAAAACGAATTATAAATATCTTAATAAAATAAATAAATATCCCTTTTTTTTTTCCCTCTCGTATCGATTAATAACGAATACACAAAATGGCAGAAATTTAAACCGTGTGTGTTATCGGTACGTCATATTCATGCTCCATAGAAACGACGTTATACGCGTGTACGTAGAGCTAATATATCTGGAGCAGACATCGAGTTAGGTTTAACGATGATTTTCCACGAGCAAAGCCGACCATTCCGAATTTCGTTCGAGTCGACAACTACGAACGTTCTCGTGGTTGTTACGGAGCACGGATTCAAAGAAGGAACCCCCGACGGTGCCTCGTAGTCGCGTATTTCACCGTCAATTAAACGCGCGCTATATACAGCAACGCACGTCTTGCGCGTGTAGAAGAGAACCTAACCTAACCACCGGCGCAACGCGAAAGAGTTACGTTCATTAGCGAGGCTACTCCGCTTCATATAGCGATTTTATCAGATTTTCTGTCCCGGTTGTATCCTTCCACCTCCTGACGCCTCGCTCGTTCGAGCGCACAGCCCTTGTCGTCGTTCGAAGCCACGGAAATTGCACGGTCTTAAGGTGGATCTTGAAAAACAGCCTCGGCCATTTCGTACGAGTTATGGAACTGTCTATCCGCTCCGTGTACGCGATACCGATGGTCGATACGCTGTACCGTTCCTGCCTCGTATATCTTTTTTAAGATTCTTTCCTCATTGTAATCCGTAGCTTAAATAATCTGAAAACGATATATTTCAAGAGAATATAACAATGAATTTGACTTTTAGTAATATATAAAAATATAATAGTTGGCTATTTTATCAATTAATCAAAGTATTTTATGTGTCGTCTGTCACCGACACTAAAACTATACGACAATCAACGCGTTGGCTCTGGTTCCCATCGATATTCAACCTGTTCTATTCTCCTTTCGCAACCACGACCATTGTTTATGATCCAAAAATACAAGGGACTCGCGCACGCCACTACATTAGAGCCTATTCTTTATCGTCCCTGATTTCTATCGATTCCACAGACACGTGTACTTTCCACGGGTCAAGCAACAATCGCGATTGGCGTAAGAAATCTCGTTGTCGAGAACACAAATCGAGAACACAAAGCGGTCTCGTAACAATCGTTTCGTTACTTAAGCTATACATACACACACACACGGGTGACAGGTTCCCACGAAATCCTTCCAAATTTTGTAATCTACCATTGTCGATATATTCACCTCTAAAACCTCTCTCACCTAACCTTAAATAAATGTCAAGATATACATTTACGGGTATTCTTTGCCAAGTATAATTACCACGGGATATTTTTTACCACGTAAAAATGCAATATGGATTTCTTATCCGGCTTGGCCATTGTCCTTACGAACTCGATTGTTCTTTCTTTCGACGATTCATACGAGCCGGTCTTTGATGCCTTGGCGCGATCTGAACGAACGAACCGTGACGTTTCATCATCCGGGAGAAACGATGGTGGAAAGACTGCGTGCGCAACGGAAACGACCAGCGACACCTAGATTATTCTTTGTCTAATTGGCACGAAAAATTATCGTTCAACCGTATATCGTCGAATTAATCGTTTTGAAAAATTTTATCGCGTATAGAAAAAAAGAAGCAATTTCTCATTAAAATATTATACGTTATACGATACGTTTGATATAATTTCCATTACGAAACGTTTAACAAAGGACGAAAATATCGATCACGAAATATTTATTACGATATCGGTCGATAATGAAGCGACACGATCCGAAGATCAACTTTTTTTTTTCATACTGTCTATGCAGATTGATAATATATTCACGCATTACTAGCAGACGTTATGAATATACATGAGATTTAAGGGGAAAAATATTAACGCAGGAACTCGATGGTAATTCGATTCGATAAATCTTTGTACGTAATACAGTGTCACAAAGTGTAGTTATTCTTGCTGCAGTGCGTTAATCAGTATTCCGTTCGATAACGATAATGTCAATTTCATCAGCTCGAACCACAAAAAGTCCGCTCGAAGGAAAAAGAAATAAAGCAATAATAACCTCGATTCTTTTTTATCTCGATGAAGTTTTTCTGTCGGTAACCGAACTGAAAACACGTTTTTCACCGATCCGTTCGTTATTACGAGATTCTTCCACGACACATATCTCGTTCTTCTAGGACGTGAAACTTGAACTGCATACACATACACAAAAAAAAAAAAAAAAAAAAAAAAAGAAAAGAAAAAAAGTTCACTTATTATTTTTATCCATATTAGAACCTAATACGAATTTTCGATAATTCAACGTCGGATGGATAACGTCGTTTCACCGTATTTTTCTTTTCTCCTCGTATCTTAATATCCAAGAGGAATTTCGAGAATTTGAAAACGACAAACCTAAGGCTCGCAAGAGTGGAGAGAATCGAATTCCTATCCGCTAATCTCAGCCTCGCAACCGTTCGATCCTTTCGTTAAGAGGCATGTCGCACACGAAAATGTCGTATGAACACGTACGTAAGAGAAGGTTGGTTGGCATAAGTCGAAGTCTGTTGGCACGGATTCAAACGCCTCTATGGAACGCACACTCGTGGATGGGGCGTGTGTGTACACGTCGCGTTTCGATTCTTCCACAGACGCACGGGGCCCCGAACCACGGCTGTCGTCATTGTCCCGGTAACGTTTCCACCCACCGCCGACGTTGTCGATTTCTTGAAACATTTCCCGTCGACCAATATTCCCGCAATAACCGCAACATCGGTTTCTTGGATCGTCGTCTACATTCCGACCTTAATGACCAATTAATCTTTCCTTCTCGTGCGTGGACGACCGCATACGTTTCTTCTATTAATGGGATAAAAATACGAAGGAAGGGACAAGTTTTCTCTGACGTATCGACCGAGCTTCGATCGATAAATTTTCGAGAGGGGAAAAAAACTTTCGAAATTCGTTTTTATTTTTATTTATTTATTTATTTTTTTTTCCTCCTCTCTCGAAATTTTTCCTAAACACCTAGAAATTATTAAATCTTGATTTTTCTAAGAACGATCCTCTTGAAATAGTACGTGATAAAAATTCGATCGATATCATCCTCCTCCGTTCAAGATTAAATTCGTCTAGACTTAAAGCTAAGAGAAGGGAGACAAAAGGAGCTGGTGGGTTCGAGGAGCTGGATAGAAAATAGAGTATTTAAAATACAACACTAGTCACTAGAGCAACAGTCTATTTATGCAACAGTCTGATGTCAAAGTGAAAACGGACAAGCAACAGAAACGAGTTCGCAAAGTTCAAACTCCTCGCCGACTGATCGTCGATTCTCGCGATCTAACGTTATATATATATATATATATATATTTTATAACATTTCGATCGCTCCCTTTAATCTTCTGAAATTAAATTAAAAAAAAAAAATCTTCCATCCTCTCATGTGGTAATCGAGGAATCGTTGTTGTTCCACTCTCCTCCCCCCCTTCCCCTTCCCCCAAGACACGCGATAACGAGTAACCTATCCCGTATTGTATTTTTCGAGGGAGCGAGCGCGTCGATCCGTGGCGAGAATGTTGGCAGAGTGGGGGGAAGGGGGAGGGGAAGGCAAAGGCAGTCGAAGCAATCAAAGACATGATCGATGGCTCATTCGTCTGAATCTTACGGCTGATTGGTCAATTAGACAGGAAACACGTAGGGGAAGTACACTTGGCTACGTGTAAGGGAAGGAAAAGGATATTTTAATTATCGTCACGGGTTTATGCTCTGCCTTCGGCTTTCGTGTTATTGATTTTGCGTTGTATTAATTGCTCTCCCACGTTCGATCGAACGTGGAATCAGAACCCCTCTATCTCCTATCCCCCTCCCTCTTTGGATCTGATTAGGTTCGAGGGGCCGCTTCCTTACCGAACGCTTCGTCCGTTGAACGGGTGAAATTGAAAGGCGCTCTCGGAACGTTCGAGATAATGTCTCTCCTAAGTGTTCCCCTCCCCCCTCTTGTCGTGAGAATTTAGAGAAAACTTGAACTTGTTATATTCCACGAAGGGGCAGAAAAGGAAAATTACACCTATCTTGTAGCCATCGTTTGAACACGATATGAAAAAAAAAATAATGTTGTCTGTACATCCAGAGTCAGAATAAATAATAAAGTAAAAGAAAAAAAAAAAAAAAAAAGAAAGAGAGATTCAGAAAAATTCTAACCTCTTCAGAGACATCTATTTACTTATATATTAATACTTTTCGAACGAGTCGAAAAATCAAAATCTTATGTAACGAAGGAAAAATTCGTTGAAACGATATTCTAACCTTACCTTTCTCCACAGTGAGAAGAACACGCGTTTCGACTCTGGATGAACAGCACAATTATGGAACAGCCAAAATTTTACCGCTTCTTCCCCCCTTTATACACCTTATTTAATCTAATGCATATTTTCTATACATACCTATAAGACAAAAACCGAGTAAGAACGCACCACAAGTTGTGCCTCACCCGTAGAGTATGTTTCAGGCAAGGAGCAGGGAATGCCAGCGTTCGCGCGTGGCCCACAGGAAGGTGGCCCACCTGAGATGAGTGACGAGAGGTTGGCGCACATTCTCTCGGAATCGGGCCACTTACAAATGAGAAGTGAGCACGAGGTGTCGAACGACGCGGACAGCAAAAGTCCGAATAGAATCGGTTGTCCGAGCCCGTTTAACAAAGAGAGGCTCGACAGTCAAAATAGGAGACTGAAGAAATACGAGAACGACGACATTCCGCAAGAGCAGGTAGTGAGGATTTATCAGGAGGAGCTGGCCAAAATAATGGGGAGAAAGGTGGAGGATACGCGTGGACCCAGAGAGTTTTCTTCCAGGTGAGGCTCGCGCGAAATAACCTCTAAACCTGTCGAGTCGTTGACTTAGAGGCCCTCTGGTGGGTCCGCAACGTAATCACTTTGATCAAAGATGGTTGGTACGTGGTGGCCGATCGAGTCGTTGACTTTTCCAAATACCGTGAAAATATCGTGCTCGTTGGCGAGTGATTTTCGTGATTGACGCGTTGGCAAGATTTGAAGGATGAAGGGATTTAGAGGGATCGGAGTCGGGATTGAAACGACGTTATCGGGTCAAAATTGAAAATTCCATCCGGTTGTGAAATCATCGTATTGTAAATTTAAATTGTCTATTAAAAAGCTTGGCAGTAGATGCGTCTCTTACGAGCGTGCATCAATTTTAGTGTTATTAAATTAATGTTCAGGGTCTTTCTATCGGTTTAATCGTATACGATACGATTTTAAAGCAGTGATTGTCGAGTAGAGTAAAATATTATCGGTGTTTCGAGTTTTTCGACAGGTTTTAATCTTTTCTCTCTCTCTCTCTCTCTCTCTCTCTCTCTCTCTCTCTCTCTCTCTCTCTCTCTCTCTCATTTTT